AGCAAGTGGTCACGTAGGACATCTCATCCAGTCCTACATTCCTGAATTCCACATGCATGAAGAGTGATAAAAAAATGAAATAAGATGAAGAATAGTTTCTGAAAGATAATAAAGAGGGAGAGAAAAAAGGAAATAAACTTATGGGTATTGGCAAACAAAGTCCCAGGGGGTTATGAAAAGGGAAGCATTCTTCCTTGAAAACTTCATGACTTCCTTGTGGAAGATCACAGCATTGTCTCAATGTGCCCTATGTCACAACCTGTAATACCCCTCATTTCAGCACAATTGCATTATGACAGCTACTGAAAGCATTATGCCTCCAGCAAAATAAGAATAGGATGCTTTACACATTCTATACCATGAGATGTCAAGTAACAGATGATCCAATGCAAGGCCTTTCTACCACTTGGCCATATCATCACAAGCAGAGACAATTTGAAGCACAGTGCATGGGCAAATATATGGATTTAAAACAACAAATTTATTTGTGTGCAACACTTTGTGTTTTAGGTCCTAGGGGTTTTTCAAAACCTCTAATGGTCTTTAATTTCACACATTGTTAGGTCTAATTAATGGTATTTGGACTGTTCACAGTGATGGTGTTCTTATTTATTAGAAGTAATTGAGAACTTAATTGAGCTCTGCATTCATAGTTTCAAGTTTTAAATAACAATTTTAATTCTTCCTTTTGTTATATTAATCTATCTTAAATCTTACTAAAATCAAGAGTAAAAGAAAGACAATGGAAGAGGTGGCAAAGGCAACCAAACAGATGGGTGTTTCCTCAAGGATGGGACCTCTCAGGTAGGTGTCTCAGGTACAGAGACCTTAATGAAATTATTTTATCACTGCTGACCCTCAGTGTTCAGGCCCCATCAGCCACACATCAGAGCCCAGAGCAGGAGTGTACCAAGTTTAACTGCTCTAGAGCAAGACAGAAGGAAAAGTAGTCTTGATTTCAACCTCTTCCTCTTCATGGGCCTTTTTCATCATTGGCTTTAAGTCACTGCATCATTTTGAAGTTTATTTCAGAGGGAAAATAATCATAAAATCATGTGACTATATGTCTTGTGCTGCAAGAGGGTATGACAGCAATGTAAGCATAATCCTGGACACAGGCAGCTGGATGGAGCAGCATTGAAAAAAACATTGAAACAATTACTGCCCATCATGCCATGCCAATTCACACAACAAGAAGTACCAGGACATTTTTTGTAGCTTTTATCTTTATTTCTGCTGGAGGCTTTGCCTCCCAGAGAAAGGAGCTGAATGTGTCACAGCTAACAGAGGAGATTCCCACAATGAAGCTTTGCCTTAGACTTGAGGAAGTCAGATAATCTGGTTTTATTTGAGTAAATTCTCAGCCCATGTGTTGTTTCAGATCACATTGCTACAGCAGTCTTAAAATGGGTCAAATAAAACTCCCACACAAAATGATGCACCCACACAATTGCATTAACCCATAATAAGCAGCATTTTACAAACTGAATTATAACTGTCTTTAAACTGATATTAAATACCATTTTATAAAATCATCTCCTGCTTAATAACAATTAACTGTGTACCTTAGACCCACTGAGAAACCTCTGTTGTCAGTTACCATAAAGGATATTAGACTTGTACTACTACCAGTTACTCCATTAGTGCCCCTGATACCTCTAAATGCTTAACCCCACAGTAAACTTATATGCCAGCCTGATATCAAAGGATAAAATTTATCTCCTTTTTCTGCTTTGAAAACATAGGAAACAGTGCTTTAAAAGCCTATTGAAAAGATGCGGTATTTAGAACTCAAGATACAAATATAAAAGTTCACAGAAAAGCTGTTATTCAGTCCTGATGGCAATGCTGGGGGAGCAGAAGGATAAATTATATGATAATACACAATCTACTGCTCTGTCTCCCTTCCTGGGCTGGCCCCTGTGAGCATGGCATGAATCACAGCCTAAAGCCCTGCTGGCTCAGACACTACCATACTTGCCATTGCAGGATGAGGTGCCAGTGGGAATGCAGTGCCACTGCTCATGCCAACGCCGTGTTTACTGCACATGCCTCAGCACTTCCTTAAAAACAGCAAAGCAGCTTCTTGTTCACTGAGAGATCAGAGCCAACACAAACTGAAAGCTCTGCCCATGAGTGTACCAGATGCTGTGCTGCTTTCCCTCGAGCCAGGAGAACTCCAGGCTCTACCCCTCAACATCCTGCTGGGTACAAGTAATGATGCTGAATCTGACACAGCACTCTGCTCTGGATAGCACAGGGCTAGATAGATAATATTTCAACAGGTAACAAGCTAAAACTGCAGGTTGGGAAATTCATGGAGCACTGGTTTTGGTGTGAGACAAAGCTTCACCTTTGTTAAAAGTATTATAAAGCAGATTCAAAGAAATTAACTCTTGCCTGTGCCTGGCTCTTTTTTCAATACTGTCATGACTGGGTGAGTGAATGACTCCAGGGTGTCCCCCTGGTCAATTTTGTGGCACACTCCACTCCCAACTTTTCTCAACAATTTCATATTCAACATCACCTCCTTTGAAATAGGGACCTGCAACTTACAGGAAAAAACATCTGCAGACAGTTATCTGTGCAATGCAACATCTTGAGGGATACAAAACATTCCAGAGAAATCAAGTACCCCTTTTCCAGCTCCAGAAATCCCTGAGGAATGAGCCTTTTTATATTTGGCATATCACTCTGAAAATCACTACCCAAGCTAAACAAAATTTAGGTTTAAAAAAAAAAAAAAAAAAAAAAAAAAAAAAAACAGAAATTTAAGGTACAAGTAGCTGGCACAACAAAAGCTCTTACAGGAGGCTGGCACTTTGTCTTAATCTCCAGAGTGTCTGATGCCTCTTCAGGTAAGAGCCAGAGGGACAAATCTGCAGGTGATAGGGCTGGAGCCAAACTGACCATGCAAATCCACACATCACAGAATAGGCTCCCTTCTCAAGTCACACTTCAGATAAAAGCACAAAAGTCATCACAGCAGCTCAGACTAGATGGCCATGTGGCTCAGTGCCTTAACACTGACAGTGTCTAAAAACAGATGCCTCGAGGAAAGCACAGGAACAGTGTGTGTGTAATAACCTTCCTTAGCTTCCATCAGCCTGCAGTTTGGCTCTCCTGAGAAAAGCAGCACCAAATCCCAGAATAACTTGAATAACTTTAGGGAATCAGAGCTACCCTTTCAAAGACAGCCAGTCCAGCCACCTGAACTGGTGGAGTTTGTGTCATCTCACAGAACCAGGTTAACTCTGTTACAGCCACTGCTTGAAGACAACCAGCTGTGCAAACATGTTCTGATTTATCTCCCCCAAAACGATTTTAAAAGGGGTTGGTTACTTTCTTGCACAATTAAAAGATGAGATAATCACTAGTTTTCCTTGCTTAATTAGATTTTTTATACTATCTCATGGATTTTACCCAATAGATAAGATTGTACCCAAGACTTACCAATACTGGTGCCTACCTTTAACAGCTATATGTAATTAATGGAGAGCAAAGGTTACTAGTGATAATTACATGTTGATTATATGACTAAGTGAATGCAATTCCTTTACAGCTACTTTTAAACCTTTTGCTTTAATTACTTTCCTGTTATATGAGGTTATATTCCTTTATATAAATATTCTGTAGCAAATTTAGTAATTTAGCTCAGCGTCTTAGATACAATGTTTTTTCTGTTCAAACCAACAGATACATAGGTATTTGTGGAGAAGTAATTCCCCCCCCAGCTACATAGTGAACTTACATACTGAGAAATCAACAGAAATTCTGGATATTTATGTGCTACACTGCCTCAGCTTTGATTTTGCTGTTCTAAAATATCAGCTCACTCCATACAAAAGTTCTGTCTTAAGTCAGATTTGAGTATAAATTGTTTGATGGTACAAAAAAAATGCATTATTAGGTATGGAAAAAGTCATAATGTACTAATATAGAATTTATTCACACAGAAACTCTTTGCCTCAAAATACTTCCACACTGACAGAAGTTATAGCACCCAAGAGCTGCAGTCACTCAGTAGCATGAACAAAAAAAGACTCCATGATGTACATTTAGATTGAATAGTAAGAAAAACATTTTCACTGAAAAGGTCGTTAAGCATTGGAAAGACTGCCCAGGGAAGCGGTAGAATCGCCATTCCTGGAAGTGTCCAAAAGTCTGGAGATGTGGCATTTGGTGGCATTTGGTGACATGGTTTAGCGGTGGCCGGGTTGATGTTTGAATTCGGTGATCTTCGAGATCTTTTCCAACCTGAAGGATTATGTGATTCTATGAGAAAACATAGAGCACCTCGGCAACTATTGCTCTGTTCTCCCAGAGAAATCAGGTTGTAAACAATGTCTTTTAACGGCGGAATGTTGTAAAGAAAACGTTTTCATTCTAAAGCGTAGGAGAAAGATCAGCAGAATATGCTCCGCACTCTTGCAACTCCTGTACTTTAGTTTCAACCAGAGAAGCGCTAAAACGAACCGTTTATGCTGCACTTGAAAGCCCCCTGAATCTTCGGGGATTTAGGAAATTGATTCATTTTTTTCATATTTAAATAACAACGAGCCGAGTCGCTAGGGAATACGAATGCATGCGGTGCGGGTTTCTGCGCGCCTACCCCCGGCGCTGCAGCCACCGAGGGAAGCCCGCCATGGCTGCGGCACCCAGCACGCCAATCTCCGGGGAAACCATGGAGGAGATACTCGGCCCCTCCTCCGGGCTCCTCCGGGCGGGCAGGGCTGGCGGCTCTCTCGGAAGCCCTGGCTGAAAGCTTTTTAAGCGGGCATTAGCGCCGGGGAGCGGCGCTGGGCGGGAGCGCGGGCCGGCCGCCCCGCCGGGGCTCGGGGCTGTGAGGGAAGCAGACGTGGTGCTCCGGGGAGCGCTGCGCCGGGAGGCGCGGGGGCCAGCCCACCTCGGGCAGGAAGCCCTGCCTCCAACCCCGCCGCGGCTCGGCGGCCCGCAAGCGGTTCTCCTCCCATTTCTGCCCAGGAGGAGCCAGGGCGGACTGTGAGGGACAATGAGTTGGGGCTGACAGAGAAGCTTCTCTACAGTGAAGCGGCGCCATCTTGCTTTACGGACGGAAAGCTATGGCGGGCGCCATTTTGCATTTGGCCGAGAGATGAGACGCGCCTTATTGCATTCCGCCTCCTGGGCGCCGCCATTTTAGGTTACGGCATAGCCTCCGCCTTCCCAAGCGCAACCTCATTGGGCGCCGCCATTTTGGCTTACGAACAAGACGGCGACCCGCAGGGGTCCTCACCCCCTCCCTTCCTCCCTTTAGGTGCCTTCATAAAATGCCCGTCGAGAATCCCCTCTTTTTTCGCCCCGCTCCCAAGATGGCGTCGATGCGGGAGAGCGACACCGGCCTGTGGCTGCACAACAAACTGGGCTCCACGGACGAGCTGTGGGCGCCGCCGAGCATCGCCTCGCTGCTCACGGCCTCGGTCATCGACAACATCCGTCTCTGTTTCCACGGCCTTTCCTCGGCCGTCAAGCTCAAGCTGCTCCTGGGGATGCTGCACCTGCCCCGCCGGGCGGTGGATGAGGTGAGAGCCGGGGGGAGTCGCAGCGAAGCGGGGCGCGCGTGTGTGTGAGGGGGAGAGGTCGGGGATGGCGTGAGGGGAGAAAGGGGGGCAGTGCCGGCACAAGTCCCCCGCCCGCCCTTTATTTTCCACACGGCGCTGCGGGGAGGGCGAGCCCCGGGCTGCCCGCGGGGCGAAGCCGAGCGGCCGCAGCCCCTCAGGGCAGGGGCGTGGGGTAGCGCTGGTCCCCACAGCCTTCCCCGCCGCTCCCTCGCAGCCTTCCTTGCAGGGGCAGGAGTAAGTGAAGAAGGTCTCCCGACTCGCTTCCTCGGTGCGAGGAAGAGCGCCGAGATTCCCCGCGATAAGGGAGTGAGTGGAGTGGGAGCTTTGCTGCTGCTCCTCCTCTTCCTGCTCTTCGGGGATTCCCTGGTTGGCACTAGGTTTTTGAAAGCAGTTTGGACATGAAACCCACTGTGCGACCCACAGGGACTCATTGTAGGGCTGTGTTTGGGGTGCCTTTAAGGGAAGAGGGCTTTTCTGAGGCAGTGGCTGTGCGGTGGCTGGGAGAGAGGCAGGATCGTGTAGGAGCAGTCGTGTATGTGTTCAGCTTCCTCCACTCCTTCCTTAGTACTGGCAGCTGTGCAGGTGTCACAGGTCGAGCATCTCGCTTCAGGGAGGACAGCAGCAAGTGCTGAAACTTTGGGAGTGGAAGATCTGGGGTCTGCACTGAGCAGTGCTTTTCCCCACCCTGCTGCAGTCAGGTCTTGATTGGGGAAAATTGCCATGCTTTTTGTTTCCCTCCCTGTACCTTTTTGGGAACAGCTGGTGCTTTCCTCTGTTGTCCTACCCCAGTTAATAAACTGGCTGGCTCGAATCTGAGCTGGCTCTGCAGGCTTTTCACTTGGCCCTGGACCATACCTCATCTGCACCTGGCTTATTCTTACCGGTAGGCAGCTGCAGATGTTTGGGGCAATAGCTGGAGAATGTCTGAAAATCTCAGGTTTCTTTAGCCGGATTGGAGGAATTCCTCTCCTGCTTCCATCATGTAAAGTAGTATTTCCTTGTGACGATCATGGAAGTGGTGTGGGGTTAGTTTTCACCTTCCTCTGTAGAGTATCCTCAGCTGTGCTTTCACCAGTCTCTTTCTTGGCTAAGATACAGCTGCTGCTTAAGCTTAATATACATGTATACCAGGCAGGGTGTAGTATGTAACTTGGATTGATGTGCGCTCAGTTTTTGTGCACTTCTAGGCTGAAAATGGGCAAGCATCACCTTCAATAAATAATTTAGTGTATGACAGTGTTTGTCTTGCCACATGTATCTGTATGATTCTTAACTGTGGTACACTGGTGTCACTTAAAAAAAAAAATCTAGTTCAGCATGTTTATGCTAATTTTTAAAATATGATAGTCATGTTTAGTGCCTGTCCAGTGAACAAGCTGTCATCCTTGTGGGTGATAAATGGGGTTGTGTTCTGGACAAACAAAATAATCAAGGCCAGAAAGGGGGATGGGAGCTCGTGTGAACTTGTGAGTTTGCAAAATTCTTGTGACCTTAGTGTGAACATCCAAGTAGCAAATTAGTATGGCAGTGTTTAGAAAAATCAGTGGTGTTTTTAGATTGAAAAGAGCTTCAAAGAGCTTAAGGACTTTCATAAATAGCACTCATGGCAACTCTTTGAGGGAGCAGCATTCAAACAAACAAACTGAAATAATTTGAGATGCTTCAAGAGTGTTCACTAGGTGAACGTTTTAAACCAAACCCGAGGAAGAGCTGCCTGCAGCTTTCCTGGATCTGTGATTGTGTTAGCCGTGGAGATGAAGTGTGTGTAGAGAAAAGCCAGTCAGTGTGCCTTTTACTGTGTACTTAAAGTGATCTGTTGTGTTCCAAATGTAAAGCTCTTGTTCCTGCTGTAAGAAAATACTGTGGGATTTTTCAGTTTGGTAGAGTTAATGAATTCAATCATAAGCTTAATCTTTTATTGTAAACTGATGATGATTGATTGAGATCTACCCTTAGCATCTTTAATTGTTTCAGGAACATGAGATTTTTTTGCCTTAAACTGGGTGAAGGGCCTTAAATAAAGGTTAAAATAGTAAAACTCCTGAGGCAGAAACCCTTAACATTGTTGGTAGGCCTGTTATTATTATTACAGGCTTCCTTCTATAGATGGTAAAAATAGCTGATGTAACCAAACTGCTGACAGAAAGGACTGTTGTCTTATCAGATGCTCATCATTTGTGGTTAGTTTGCTAAGATAGTTTTATTTGTGCAAATTTGTCACCTAACTTAGTATCAAAATATTCAGTGTTTTAATTGTCAGAGAATACCTTGCACACAATATCCAGCAGATAGATAAATATGTCTGTGTCCAGAATGGCTGTGCTGTGCACATCTCTCTGCAGCAGCCTTTGCTTGTGTGTTGGAAGTCACCCCCATGTCTGAAAATGATTAAACTGAACTATGAGAGTGCTTAATTATTCTCTTTGGAAAGTCATATGTCTTTGCCATGCCATGTGCCTGTGTCTGTATCGATCGAGTGCGAGAAGCACCGAGCTGGCATTTGGAAGCCTAATTGTATTGGAAAATGTATTGCATCAGCTTTGTAGAGCTTTGGGAATCTCAATAGCAGCTACAGGATATGTTACCTGTTAAAAGATATTCCCCTCTCTAGATAACAGATTAAACTGAGTTATTTTCTCTTCAAAATAAATTATTTTCTGTTTTCTGTATAGAAGTATTTTCACGAAAGCTTAGAATAACACGGAAACTATTTGGGAGCAGACATTTGAGTAAAACAATGTGGGAATCAAGGAAACTGGTGGTATTTGCTTTAAAAGGGATTTAATTGCTCCTAGTCCTTTCTAAATCTCTGTGAAAGCTTCAGTCTAGACAAGTGAATCTTCAGTGACCCCTCTTGAAAGCTCAGTTCTTCGCTTAAATAGTTTTATGCTCTTTCAATTTTCATAATGTTTTCATTCAACACTCCAAATACTATATAGATATAAGTGACTTAATCCTCATAATACTCTTGTGGGACAGGTAATAAAACTAATTTTTTATCATGCTGTGAACCTCATTGCTGCATGTTTGTTCCTGCTGACTAATAAGAATAATTGGCTTTCATTTTCATTTTAAATTGTGTCTTGTAGGCAGTTATCAAAAATTCCTTTCCCACTGTAATTCTCTGGGAAGGACTTGCAAACTCTTGAATCTTATGGCTTTTCATCTGCTAATATTTTTCTAGATAATTGCACTTATTTGAAATGATGCCTAAAGCTCAGCATAGTGCTGACCAGAGTTTCAGTTGTGAATTTGGCAGAACTGTTATTTCTGTTTATTTTGCATATTCTTGTTAACCTGATTCACAATGGCAAGTGCAAATTTTCTTTTTATGCCAGTGTTAATTTATTTGTTCAGGGTTAGACTGTGATGTTACAACCAAGTCTGGAACAAGGACTGTGCTTCTGTGCTCTCTGAATTGTCTTGAGAGGAGGATTCCTAGCCCAGCAGGGACTTGCCTGTTTATTACAGTAGAAATCAAAACTGTGTCTTTGTACTGTGCAAAGGAATAAGAGGGGACATGACACTTGCATTTCCCTCTGTCTTGAGAGCACACAGGCTGCTGTGCACCTTTCTGGCCTGCACTTAGGGTTCATAATTATTCTGTGATGTAAAATGGTATATTTTAATCCAATAGTTCCCTTGGCCACTTTAGCTCTTTTTCATTCTTTAAATGCATACAATAGTGTGGTGGTACCAACCTGTCATGGGTTTGTATTGTGTAAATATTAATACTGTGTTTTCAATCCAGTGCTTTTAGTTTCATGAAAATGCTCTATAATGAGCAGCTACCTATTAAATATCATCTTTTCTATAGCCTCAGAAAGATTAAAGCTTCATTTGGTTTATTAGCCAACTGTTGATACAGCTGTCTAAAAGTATTTTCATACACATTAACTTAGACAGAATACAAAACAAATAAATGTGAAATATTTGCAAATAATCATCTTGGAGCTGTCACATTGTGTGCTACTTGTAACACTTCCTTTTAAATACCTTCCCACAGTCCTGTTTGTCCTTCCTGCACAGCCATTATTAATCTGCCTGTGTCCCAGACACTTCCCATTCTGCCTGATCCCTATTTGCTAGATGTTTCTAGTCATGGCCTATGCTTTTCCTTGTGTGCTAGCAAGCTGATAAAATACTTAAGATCCTTAAGTTTCAGATGAGAAAGACATTGGAACATGTTACGTCAGATCTTGACATTCATGCTTAACAAGATGCTGGTTGGAACTGATGAGAGTCTTAATGACCCAGTGTTGAAATCATAGGCAATTAAGAATTAGGGATTATGGCTGTGCCCTGTAAAGTAACAGGAAAACTGCATTTAGGATTCCCTGATGAGTTGCATTTTATGCATTCTCAAAGCATAAATAAAATGTTTATTTTCAGCTGCCAGTTGAACAGTGAAGTGGGAACATGTATTTAAATATCCATTTGAAGACAAACCCAAGTCAGAACTCGAATCCAGGCTTGTTAAATTCAAACCCATATTCAGGCAAGGTCTCTGGTTAGCTCATAGTACTTGTTAGTGTGCTTTGCTTCCCTGTGTGTGATAGTGACTGCTATTTCACCATGTTCTTTCTGTCATGAGGCCTTGTGATAATGTTATTTGCCCCATGCTAGGCAAACAAATTGTTTCTGGGCTCCTTTCTTGAAAGAACTAAAAGCTTGTTAAGCAGTGGGCTTGGGCATAAATAGGCTGCCTGAACTTTAACCCTGAGAGCAGAGGGGATGCAATGTGCCCACACCAGCGTTCCATAGGAACTTTCATAGTATAGGCATGTAGCTATGTGAATTTTTGGTACAAATAGGAGTTTTGTGAAATAGATACGAAGGGTAAATTGTGAGGATGCAAGAGACATTTTTCCTCTAGCTATTGCCTGACTTTGCTTTGATGAAGGAAATGACTTTCTGTACATTTGCCTGCATTAGTGGTGTCCACAGAAAAGCTTGTAAAAGCTATGCATTCATCAGCTCTTCTGGGATGTTTTAGGTGTTTTTTGTAAATCAGTACCTTGATTCCTTTAGGATAGATAAAAGAACAAAAGACTTTGCTTTGATAGTGTTCATAGTCATCCTCATCCACTGCCTAAGTGACTTTTGTTAAGGAGTTCATGGTTAGAATAAAGAGGTGGATGAGTGTGTGGAGGTTCTGGTGGGGTTATGTTTACTGAGGAATAAATGAGCAATGGAGAATCAGCAAAGAGTAGAACCTCAGAAATTGATTCTTTCCACTGGGTAAGCATTGGTTAAATTTGACAGGACATTACACAGTGTGCGCTCCTGGTTATGTGCTCAGTTTAATCCAAAGCAAATCAATGGCACTGTGGGATGGGAACTGGCCCATGTAGTGTCCTATTTCTGCTCCTCTCTGTGGTTCTGGTGTTTGTGTGACTGCAGTCACTCACTCTAAGGAGCTGGTCAAGCTTAAAGCTACGGAGGTGCTCATTTTGGGTCAGATGGACTGATGCAGTTTGTTTCACAAGCACATAATGTGTGAGCCCTAAAACATGCAGGGGGTAAAGGACAAACTGACTTTGGAGTGGACTTGTAAACTCTTTCAAAGTGAGAGGGCAATAACATTGTGCAGATGAAAGGACTTGAGAAATGTCAATGTTTGTTTGCCTCTGAGCTTTAAAAGTGGATGGGAGAGGAATGGGGAGCAGAATTTTAATTTTTATTTCTTTTATTTAGAGTTGTATGCATAGAGTAAGTTTATTTTTTTAAACCTTTTCATGTAAGAGTGCTTAAAATAAATAAATAAAGGAAAAGAAACAGCATGAAGGTGAAGATGAGTCTCTTGCTTGTTTTCCTGTGCTCAGAAACATGACTGTAACTAAGCTATATGTGCCACAATGGGTGGTGAAAAATCAAAATGAACGTATTTCCTTATACTTGCTTGTACATTCTTCAGTGTTAATACAATGCAGATAGAGTATGGTAAACTACTTTATGTGATTTTACTGTTGTGTTTTGTGGCTTGCTAGACATGCTGAATATCTCAAACATCTTAGTTTGCTGAAGCTAATGCTGTCACGCTTACATGAAAATTTACTTAGTAAAAAAGAAAGTTCAGTCTTGGGGGGTTTACACTTACTTGTGAATGAAGTAAACCCCTGACTGTAGTCACCTTGATTTTCGTACCAGTGCCAACAGATATGTTGGTCAGTAATTAAAAAAATCCTGTTAAGATGAAACTTAAAATTTATTTCATTTAATTTTTTGCACTTTTCAAAATAGAAAAATAACTTTTTTTCTGGCTACTTTGGGTAGATGGAAATTCTTGTTGCTTGGGGCATGTTAAAAGGGCTGTGTTTACTTCTATAATACATATTTTTTTGTCAAACAATACAGTATTGATTACGTTGTTTTGGCCTCAGCTTAAGTAATATTTTGAAGACAATTATGATGCAGATACAATCTGTCTGTGTAATTATGCTGTAGGCTGGCAAGGGACACATCTTCATTTAGATGCCTGTTCTAAATAACTTGTATTTGCATATTCCCATCACTGAATAGAAGGAGTGGGTCCACAGAAAGTATGAATGTAAAACAGAAGGAGACAGTAATATAAAACTTGCTGCTGCTTTTAAAAATGCCCAGTGCTAAACAAAGCTTTGAGCTTCCAAAAGCTGAAAACAAAACTTCGGTTAGATTGGCTGAAAGCAGTATAAAAAAACTACCTTGGTTCATTCTTTGCTTGGTTCTAGAGTTAATGTATAACTGTATGGAAACAGTTTCCCTCTTCCCTCCCCCAGTAGTAAAATATTGTGCATGTTTGTATCTTTTTAAAATAAATCCAACTATAACCTGTTTAAAACTGTTTCCAATTGGTTGATTTTCTTTTTCTTTTTTTGTTAGATGAAAGGGGCACTGACTGAAATTATCCAGCTCGCTACCTTGGATTCAGACCCCTGGGTCTTAATGGTAGCTGATATTTTAAAATCCTTTCCAGATACTGGCTCCCTTAACCTTGATCTTGAAGAACAGAATCCCAATGTTCAAGATATTTTAGGAGAACTTAGAGAGAAAGGTAAGCCTTTTATGTTGGTGAAAATTGCAGCAATGTAGTGCCTTTTTTTAAGGAATAACCTGCCATTTCACTGGCAGCCTTGCTGTCCTAAAGTAGAGATACAAGAACAAGCACTGTCGTGTCTCTGAAATACCACAGTTCGTGACCTGGAATGTTACTGGACTGGGAACTGTGGTATTTGAGAATGGTAGCTTCTTAAATTATCTTTTCACAAATCATCAGAATTTAATGTCAGTTATCGCCCAGAGTGTGAAGAGCAGCGCAAAAGTTTGTGTGGACTCATTAGTATCACAGGCTGTGCTGCAGCTTGGTCAGTAAAGGCTTTTTCTATGTTGCTCTGTCTCCCATTTGTGGTACTCAAGATTACAGCAAGTCTGTCTTGTGTGGAAGCACCACCACTGTCCTGGGCAGGGGCTGCCTCTGCTGGAAGTGTCTGGACAGCAGGTGCTGGAGGGAGGCTGATCTCGGGAAGAGTTGTGCTGCTGCTGGCCAAGTAGCTAGAGATTGCCCAGCAGCTGAAAATATGGGGTCAGGCACTTGCACAGTTGCTGCTTCAAGCAGTAAATGGTGATGCAAAACTACTCCTACTCCAGTGGGTTTATTTTAGCACATTGTCTAGAAAAAGCCCTCAGGCATCCATGGACAGATGCAATCTCGAGGCTGGAGATTGCAGCAAACAATAATTAAATTACTTGGAGGTGGAAACACTTTGTTTTCTTTCTATAAACAAATGCCACTTGTCTCTCCACACTTCTGAGTTGGATTTTGATTCAGTAGTTCGGTTTTCATGTGTAATTTTTAAGGAATCTGAGAATTCAATATTTTTATCTGTTTTTTGACACAGCAGTGTACTTAAGATACCTATAATTTGACTAGGTATAATTAAAATGGAAGCTTTTGTGAAGCTAATGGGAAAACCAAACATACTAATAACTGGTTATATATTGTGTAATAATTGGAATTAAATTGCTCTTGTTGTTAATACAAGTAATCTAAAATTTAAAACCACCTGTACAGTCTAGTTGTAAAATGTTTTGTCATTAGCTGCCAAGAGGTGCTAATACCCCTGTGTACTGTGTTAACTCTTTATGCAGTAAGTGAATGTGAAACTTCAGCTATGTTGCCGTTGGAATGCCAATACTTAAACAAAAATGCCTTGACAACACTAGCTGGGCCACTTACTCCCCCAGTGAAACATTTCCAGCTGAAAAGGAAACCTAAAAGTGCCACTCTCAGAGCTGAACTCTTGCAGAAGTGTAAGTAGTATTAAGATTGTGTACAAATTAAATTATGAAAGGACAAATTGTATTCAGTATATTCAGTCTTACTCTCCAGAATTGTGATCCACATTAAAATTTTCTATTACAAGAGCTTTCCTGGATGAGGATGGACTGATGTGTGGAAGAACAGGTACAGGTCATTCCAGCCAGGATTGCATTAAAATGCTAGTATTGATTTAAATGCTGTTCAGATTTCAAGGCATACAAAGAGCTGTAGCTTCATAAAGTACAAATAGGTCCTCTCCTGAGTATATGTAAGAGTCAGTTGGGAAGACTTCTGAGCACAGCTTTGGCTAAAGCTCCTGGAGCAAAAGTAAAATCAGAAGAGTTTTATTTTGCCATGTGCTTTTGGAGCAGAGAGTAAGGGTTGCTAATTAATGCTTTTTTTCACTCAGTATGGCTGTATAAAACCAAGAGAGTTCTCCCTTAACAAAAGGCAGTATGTGTACATGTATGTATTGGTAGCTGGTTGAAATAAGTGATCTCAAAATAGTTTGCTGCAGCTGCTGTTCTGTTGCAGCAGCTTGCTGCTTTCTTGCATGTAACTTGAGTTGGTCTGGTTAAATGCAAAGCATGGAACTTTTCATAATGTGTCATATAACTTTAAAAAATTATTTACATTTCCACTGAGTAAATTGCCTATTCTGGTAATTTCTTTTAGCTTAGGCCACCTTGTCCATTACATAGTCATATTGATTTTGCATTTTCTCCAAATACTTTGGTTAGTTCACATAAATGACCTGGGTTTTAATTAAAATATAATTCTTTATTTGCTGATATTCCTATCTCTTTATGTATTAGTTAATAACATTTTATGTAAGGAGCAATGTGTTGTATATTTTCAGCACAGGTACTAATGCCATTTTTCTTTTTAGCAACAGAAACTGCGCAACAGCTCAAGAAGACTGCAGGAGTGCCTTTCCATGCCAAAGGCAGGGGACTGGTCAAGAAGATAGATACAACAAGTATGGCTCACTTTCATCAGTTCTCAGAAAGAAAACCTGATAAAGTAGCCTTGATGAAGAATAAAATTACCATCTGTTTTTTTGAAAGCTTTAAATTTTTTTTGAAGCAAAGGATTTCTCCCTTTCTGCCTCCCTCTCTTCTGATACTTAAATATTTCTGACATGTCTTGTCAGAAAGAACAACAGTGTGTGGGGATTTTCAAATGGCAAGTATATCTGCCATGCTTCTAAAGTGTATGCAGCTAAATCATGCCTATAGACTTTGGTAGGAATTTAATTTGCATCACTCCAGGAATAACTCCTGACTAAGCCATGTTGCTCCAAAAGAGAGCAGAGTTGATCACAGTAGTCTGCTGTGCTCTTTGAAATGCTGTGAAGTAGATTGAAACTATATTGTGTTTGTATAATCCTGTCTGGAGAAAGAAGAGGGGACAGTGGGTTCTCTGCAGCCGAGGCTGAGCATTGAATTCGATACGGCAAACATGTGGAATGATCCTTCAGCTTTGTATTAATGCATTTCAGCTGTTTGCTGAAGAGGGTTTAAAATTAGTTACATACTCTTAAGTCACTGCACAGGTTACATACTCTTAGTTACATACTCTTAAGTCACTGCACAGGTATAACATTCCTGGCCACATTCCTGATTGTGAGGTGTGAAACTTTGAGTGATTTCTTGGTGTTGTAGCTAGAAGCTATGAAGTACTATTAAGTACTTTGTGTTGATGCTACTTAGGATGTCGCTTTGACAACTGAAGTTTGGCCTTGTGCTCCTTCAGGAAATGCAAAAGGTCTAGTTATAATTTGAACTAAAATTTTTCCATTATAGAAAAGGAAACGCATTCTGTGTTGCTGTTGAATTGCTAAAGGCCAGTTGTTAGACCTGGCCTTTAGAGCCAGTTGGCTCTAAAGGAGTTGGAGATCCACTGAGGTTTGTTCCACTGAAAGGTACTTACATGGGTCAGAGCATAGTCCTATGGTGAAAACATTTGCAGTGCATCACAAGCCCTTAGCCCTGAAGAAGCTTGCCTAAGATTTTTGGCTAAATACAGTTTTATCAAGTAATTTGATTGTGAAAATCAAAGAGCAACTTTGGCAATAATTGGATTCAAAAGATCTACATCCTATACTGTTTTACATATTCAGAGTTTATTTTTTACAAGTAAGGAAAGCATCTGTGTGTATAGGAAAAGCAGACTTTGTTAGCAGTGCACCTGTTTGATTACTTCATGTAGAATTTGGTTGCAAGCATTGGTCAGAGATTGGCTCTTACACCTTTTTTGAAAAGTAAAACCTAATCTGACCTTTGAGGGACATGTAGTATTATAGCCAATTCCACATTAGAATATTAATGTTTATAATAAAGATTTTAATTTAAAGGGCAAGTAGTGTGTGCATTAAGAAGGGGAAGAGCTGAAAAACTCATTAAAGCATTTTTCAAAACCAGTTAAATACATATTTCAGTTGTTGCTTTCTTTGCTCTTCCCTAAGCACCACTCAAAGGAATACCAAAACAAGCTCCCTTCAGGAGTACTTCAGCTCCCAGTGTTTTTAGTCCTTCTGGAAACAGAACTCCTATTCCTCCTTCAAGAACACCTTTACGCAAAGAAAGAGGAGTAAAGGTAGGTGCACTCCTTGTTTTTCTGCTCAGGACTCTTCTCTCACCTAAAGTGAATTTCTGCTGCTGCTTTGAATCAATATATTAAAGGAAAAAAAAAAACAGAGGATGATATTTAGAGATAAACTACGTGCACTTAGCAATGATTAAGTTCTCTGTGGTCTTTCTTTTTAGCTTCTAGATATCTCTGAGCTGGATATGGTAGGTGCTGGCCGTGAAGCAAAGAGAAGAAGAAAGACATTAGGTTGGTACAGCATTCTACTAATGAAAGCTGTCAGTACACCTGCAAATAGGATCAAAATTTGTAGTACCATTTTGTTCTTAATTTACTAAAACTTAGCCTGAGCTAAACTTTAAAAAATTAGGGGATGTGATACCAAGCAACCCAAATAGGTTTTCAAGGAGCATTTTCACTTGTTTCAGTACTCCTACTCATATTGCCTTGGCCTAGGTAATATAACTCAATAGTGTGAAAGGATTGAGCTAATCAGTTGTGTTTTTGGCAGCCCATAGATGTGTGGCTGGCTTCAGTACTGGAATTTTTCTGAGTTATTTTCATCTGCTCACTTCTACTGGCTGTATGGCCATGTAAATTAGGTGAAAGTAATATTGAAAAAATTTATAGCAATGTTCAAAATTTTGACTGAGAGGTCTTTTCAAGTGAATAATATCTGATATTCAAGTGAATGATACCTGCTTTTAAGGCAAGTGACAGGGTAGTGCCCTACTTAACCATATCAAGAAGATAAACTATTCAATATATTTGTCGTAAAACAATTTTTTGTGTTTGTCACAAAAAAGAATACCACCTCAGAACAAAATCATAATTGCAATTAAAATGTGCTTGGGCTTTCATGCTTTCTAGTGTCAGATTACTCAATTACTGTATCCTGTACATTGTTGTTCAGTTCATTATTTGTTTAATTATAAAACTATGTTTGGAGATTACTGTATCTATTTCAGCATATACCTCTTCAAGCATGTTTCAGCACACTTTGAAAAGTGCATTTTTATATCTTTGTTTAAAAAGTATATTCAATATCTCTCAAAAAATGTTTGGACTCACTTGTGTTTTTATGCAATAGATACGGAAGTTGTGGAAAAGCAAGCCAAAGAAGAAACAGTAGTAGAAAATGCTACCCCAGATTATGCTGCTGGCCTTGTATCTACACAGGTAAAACCAAGCAAAATAAATCAAACAAAAACCAGCCAGTCAAAAAAAAATAGTCTTGACATGTCCTATTCTAAATCACTTAAACACTGTAATGATATTTTGCTTACTTGTTGAAACATATCTCTTTATGTAAAATTTTTTTACATTTTTTTTTTTTTAATTCCGTTATATTTTCACCAAAGAAAAAGCAAACCTGTTGCTAGAAGTCATTTAGATAGGGAGAGGAAGAACCAGTCATGTGTAGGCCTTTTTTCTCCTATTTCAGATACAGCATATTAGAAACTATGGTGCAGCTTTGTCTCCTCAGTCAGGATGTAAGTTCTACAAGAATGTCCTGCCCTTGTTTTTGAGTGAGAAACTGTCTGTTGGGCATGTGTGACAAGCCAAGGCAAACATACAGGCAGATTGTGGTAGGCCAGAGTCAGGAGTGAAGGTCATTGCCTCTCTTTCTTTCAGATTCTGCTAAGAGAATCTTTGTTTTAGTAAGGTTCCACATTTTACAGAATGTCCATCTTTTATATAGCAGGGCTGCCTTAAATGATTTGTCTGTTAGACATTCCTCCCCCAGAATTCTTTCCTCTCTCACTCCCTTATGTTCAAAGGCTGGATCAGGCAGTTAAATCATCAACCATGCTGCTGTCTTCATGCTGTGTATGCAGTGTCATGTATAATTAGGTACAAAATGAGGCTTCTTCTGTACCTAATCATCCTAGATGGCACCAGTCATGTTGGTGTTGGCTGCCTGTTTCAGTAGGAATGACATTTTTGCCTGTGCTGTTACTGCTGCCTTCTGCTAGCCTATGTCCCAGAGGTCTTTGGGTTCTCCTGGGTGATACCCTAGTAGGCCTTATGCTCATGGATGAACATGGTTCTGCATGCTAGTGGTGAAGAGCATGTTTCCTCTGGCAGATGACTTAGCCCTAGAGTGCAATTCTTCATAGAGTGCCCTCTGCACAAATTTCTGATGTTTGAACTAGAAAGTCAGTGTTAGGACTCCTAACAGAGGAGTCTGCAGTTAAGTTCCCAAAAGGAATATCTTAGTAAAACTAATCTTGAAGTTGTATTTAAAATGTAAAAACAGCCCATGAATACTTGCAGTGTGGCTTTAATACTTTCTTTTCTGTTCTGTAGAAACTTGGCTCATTGAACAATGAGCCTGCACTACCTTCTACAAGTTATTTACCTGCTACCCCCAGTGTGGTGCCGTCTTCCTCCTATATCCCAAGCTCTGAAACACAGCCAGGTAACAGACACTTCTTTGCTCTTGCTGATAACTGCAATTCTGTACAGTTTTACTGTTCTGGCTGCTCTTTTATTTACAAACCTACTGTCCCTCAACTTGAGTGAAACTCCACCTTAGCAATATATCCATTGCAAGACTCCAGCCTTTGAGTTTGAGGAAACCAGACATATCATTTAACCTAAATAAAGAAAATAATTGTTGGCTCTAAATTTTTAGAGTGACTGCTAGGTTAGTCAAGGAAGTGAAACCATTTTTTTTTCCTTACACAGTAATAGAAAATCCAGCTTTTTAATCCCCAAAGAGTAATGAGAATAAGTCTGAAGTATATATTCCATGCAGATACAAAACAGTTGCTTTCAGAAGTCAATTTTATTGCTAGAGGCAAGTGCATATTACTTTTCACACAGTTTGGGATTAAGCCATCCATTTTTCTTCTACTTTTGTATAAAAAAAATAATAGCTGACTTACTGCATATTTTGAAAAGTGCTGTTATTTTCAATTCTAGAAAATTGCCAATAGGAAAAATAGTTTGTACAATTCCTTTTTTCCTACAGTTTTATTTTAACCAGATTGATTTTATTTTTCCTTCCCTGTTGTGTGTGAAGTCTTTAAAGGAATGTATCAGTTTGTGCTAACAGATGTGCGTGACTGGGATTCATTACCAGATCTGTCCACTAACAGAGAACCAACATTTCAGTTTAACACATTATTTTTACTTGTTCAGAATCTCTCTGAAGGTCTATGCACATCTTTCTCTGGCAGAAAATTGGCATCTCCAGAAGGAATGCAGCCAAGAACACAGCAGTGTCAGCAGCTGTAGTACTATTTTCCAGAGTATTGGCATTGTGTTCAGCAGCAGGAAAGGTCTAGTTTAAAATTCTCTATTCTGTATGCTTTCCTTTAGGAGTATATAGCTTTTCTTAGGGACCAGGAACATAAAACTGGTTGATATAAGATGCACACAAAAGATCCACAGACTTGGCCTCACATAATCTTAGGTTGCATAATTAAGACATTACTTCATGAAAGTCAGTTATTCTGACAAGAAACAAAGCCAGTAATGAAACTTGTAAAGGAGTAAGGAATAACTCATACTGCAACTGTTTATTCTCTCAATTGTTCCACATCTAATGAAAAATACCAGTATTGCCAAAACCATTGCTGTGTCTGTGTCAAGGTGAAGAACCATAGATGCCTCATTTCCTAAAATCTGCTCTAAGGGGCAATATAGCTCTGATCCGTGTCTGCCTGTAGTCTTCTATGAACATGGTGTGAACAGGTCAGATTAAAGCTCATGAGGTTTGTGAAGGGTGCTTGAGCAGCTGTGCCTCTGTCCAAGAGCTGCAAAAAAACCTAGATAGTGTCCACTGGGTAATTACCACTGGCTGGACAGATGGTAACTTGTGTGGTCAGGCTGCTGTGATTTCATGAGTTGCCTCCAACTGCAGCCAGGTTTGGAATAGTACAAGTTCCTTACTGCAGGTGAATGGATCAGCTTTGAGAAAGAACAGTTAAGCCTTGTGGCATTTTAACTTCTAGCAGTTAGTGTTTAAATTGCATGTGATTTGTGAAGACTGTGTTTAATTCTGACATCTGTTAAAGTATATTTGTATTTTTAGTATCTTAAAGGCACTTGCTTTGAAAGCTGCTGCTACATTAGATAAAACTGATGAAATATTTTTTTACTTGCTCTATGTAATAGTATAGAACTATCCTGGTAGGATCAGAGTGCAGTTGTTATAGCTATAGAAACTGAAAAGTAAGTATTACAGTTTCCATTTAATAAATTGGATATTGACTAAACATTAGATTTGATGCTAAATATAGTGTATCCATATGGAACAGCTAGTTACTCTGTTGTCTAATTATTTCTAAAGATAATGGAGTGGAAAGGAGCATTAGCTCTTAGCTTTTTCATACAGATATTGGATGGCATATTGAATTGTGGTGCTCAAATGGATTCATCAGAGATTTTAGTTTTCTGTAAAGGCCACTGGTGATGCTAATCCCTGTTTGTAGATTATAATGTTTTAACTGTCCTGACTGGTTTTTGCAGCTGGTTCTGCACGAGAGGCCTTGCAGACCAACAGGCAGACAGAAGAGCCTGCAGCTCCAAATGCTACTACAACTCTCCCTGCACAGTTCAAACAAAGAACACCCATGTACAACAGTAACTCTAATCCCCCTGCAGCTACACCTACCTCACCCCTAACACCCACCACACCTCCTGCCATCTCCCCTGCGGCACAGGCACCACAAGTGGCCGCCCAAACTCAGCAACAGCCACCACCGAAGAAAAGCCTCTCTCTCACAGTAAGTAAAAACATATTCTTTTTGACTGATGGTTTTGATGCTGATTGGATCTCGTTTATATGTTGGCATTTCTTGGCCTTTGGATTATGGAGTGGTTGAGGCTGCATTTTTATAACCAAAGATTGCAAAAATACTTTGTGGTTTAGCATTGCTGTCTTAATGCTATTCACAATATTTTTAGTTGTGCAGTGTTAATGTTGCAGTAAGATGTTGTTGCTTAATGCTGTTTGTTATGTAAAAGAATGTGTTGCTCATTATAAAGAATTTTGGGAGAAGGGTGTATTTCCAGCAGAAATTGCACATAATATAAATTGTTTTCCTTTAAACCAATATAATTGTCTTCCTTTAAACCAATATAAATTGGTTTAAATTATCCTGACATGGCTATAGTAGGAGAAAATACATCAATATTTTAAGGTAAAAGATTTTATTTCTGATCCACCTCATCCCCCAATTACACATTTTTCAAAGCCTGAAAGTGGGGATATATCTTGAAGCTTCCTATTCCTGCTGCTTTGGTATGTATTATGTGCATGCTTGGAGTTCAAGATGCAGCTGACCAGAAAATTTTGCTAAGCAGATGTGTAAGCCTGGCTTGCAAGATCTGAACTTTTGCAAGCTGGATGACTTCTTTTCAGTACCTCTACTACATTTATTAAAGGAAAAGAAATACTCTGAAATTATTGCAAGCCTGGGTTTATTAGATTGTAGAGAAAGCATTGAATTATTTTCTTTTTTCCATAATGTCATAAAGGACACAAAATGGGTAACACAAACATTAAGCCTCTCACATGTTTCTGTAACTAGTTGAAGGTGGGGTGTTTTTTTCAATGTCCTGAGTTCAATTGTCACTGCTGTGCATGTTAGGTATAAATATTGCAGAGGAGAAGCCTTGAGGTTAGGATGCCTTTTTTGTTAACTTTTTGTAGGTCCTACAAACTTTCACCTTATTCTTTTACTTATCTGTGGTATTAATGTGGTCCCTGTTAGCAGAGTTTTTCTCAACTGAATTGACATTTCTTGTGTCTGTTACAGAGGGAGCAAATGTATGCTGCACAGGAAATGTTCAAGACTGCAAACAAAGTTACAAGGCCAGAAAAGGCTCTTATACTTGGATTCATGGCAGGATCCAGAGGTATGTATTGATGGTAATTTAGTTTGCTTCTGAATACACAAATCTGAAATACAGCCCAGCATTTCTAAATGTGCATATGAGTGTCCATTGCTTTAGCTTTGTCTGTATGTGTTGGACTCTGCTTTACACTGGGCTCTACATACTTTTACAAATTATAGTTCTAACTACCTGGAAATGGGTCTTTAGGGTCCATTTCCACTGGTCTATAAGAAAAGCTGCTGACCACAATATAACTTAACTCACTGTAGGATCATGGCTTAGGGTTGAAGAGAAACAAAGCAGCTGGTAAGCCATGAATAAAATGGTTGGGTGCTACTGCTCTGCCTAGAGGACCAAGGAATGTAAACTCTTCTGTGGCCAGTTGATGTACCAGTCAGGTGGTACAGAACCTCTTTGCTAATTCCTTGCTTTGGAAACTGGCAATTGTTATCTCAGAGACTTTAGATAACAGCTGGTGCTGTGAATCACAGGGAGATAAGCTGTCTCATAGCTGGATACTGTTATGTGCTGGCCTTGATAGACCAAAGCTGTTTTACCTAGAAGATTATTGGATGTAAGATGAGACAGGGCTTAAGAGTCCTTAAATGAACTCCATCATCTGCACTAGCTCTGGTTTCTAATTTGGTATTTGGGGGATCTTACCACCAGAGTCCTGCAGCCTAAGTGTGGCTCATGCATTTGGAGTAATGCAATACACTGGTGAGAATGACCAGAGCAGAGTTACTGTGGTGATCCCTGAGCTTTTAAGTTTGGTGCATCTTGCATTAATGACGGCATTCTCAGTACTCAATGCTACTTCAAATTGCACTGGGAGGCTGTACTTCAATATCTACACAGACAGCTTCCTCTAATGCAAGGTAAAATATTATTTGAAAGTGTGTGTGATATAGATTCACGTATACATATATAGTAAAGTAAATATTAATATGAATTCTTTTAGTAATAATGTCAGCACCTTCTGAAGGTTGGATAAATAACTGCCAACTTGAGTACCTTGAAGTGTAACGTTTAAAACTTACCATTCCAGTACCTTGAAGGGTAACATTTAAAACTTCTACTGGCATGGGCCTGAGTCTGGGTCAAACATCAGTGAAGCTTTCTGGGCTTCCTTAACAGCTAAAAATTCTTGAGGCATTTACAAAATGTCTCCCAACTAAAGTAACTCTAGTAGTTCAAGCTTACCAACTTAATTTAAATATAATCTTCTCTTCTGACTCTTGAGGTAGAGAGAAATTACACTGGCAGGCTTTACTCCCACTTTTATTGTTCTTCCAATTATGTTAGCCTTGAGCTTTGTCTGTTGGAGTCTGGTTTTGTTATTTTTAAAACTTAGTTTTAGGAGTATGGAGAGAGGAAAATCTTTGTGGTTTGCGCAGCTTTGTGTTTGAGACTTGTTTGTATTTTGTGGAGTTTTTTTAAACTGTTTTTGTGTAATGTACTAATATATATACACTAATATATAATTTAATTAATTTTGTCTAATATACTGTTGTATATAGTAATATACTGTTGAAATGTATAATGTATGTCTCTTCTTGTTTCTGCAGAGAATCCTTGCCAAGAGCAAGGTGATATCATCCAAATTAAACTGAGTGAACATACAGAAGATTTACCAAAGGCAGATGGCACAGGCAGCACCACTATGTTGGTTGACACAGTCTTTGAAATGAACTATGCTACTGGTGAATGGACCAGATTCAAGAAATACAAACCTATAACTAATGTTTCCTAAGAGATGCAGCAGCAGCAGACTGGACCAAATCAAGTTTAGAGTCAACCAGCTCATAGAGTATGTCAGCTGTACAAAATGGCATTCATGTGTACATTTCTTATTACCCTCCAGAGTAGAAGCTGTGCTCTTCAACCAAACTGAGCTCAGTGAACACAGAAGTGTTTGATGGTGTCAAACTCACTTAAATTTTTTTTATTAATCTTGGGAGAGGGAAAGATGATCCTGGGGGGGGGCTGGGGGTACATTGTTGGTGTGTTTTTATTCAGGATGATGTGTTGGAAGTTCAGGATGCTGAAAAAGGAGATCACAGCTGAAAGGTTACAGGTGAGAGTAGTTCACTGCTAACTACAGAAGAGAAGACTACTGCACAGTCACTCACGGTTTACTGTTAACTGAGGGCACAGATCTTTATCATAAAAACATTGTCTTTGGCAACGTGAGTTCTGTCATAAGAATCGATATTTGAAGCACCACAGGTCAGTACTTGATAATTTTGTATTTCAGCTGCAGTATAACTATTGCAGATGGTATTTGTCATTGTCTAAAGGTACCCACTGTATGTTTAGCTTATTTATGCTTGGGTCATAGGATGAAATTGAGCAGCTTTGTTTTAGCAGTGGGAACAAAGCAACATGGACCCCTTTATGCATCCAAAGGCTTTATTGTAGAAATTGCATCCTTTTAAACCTTTAATCTCAACCTGACATAACTGAAACCAAACTGAGACCTAACAGAGCTGAACAGGACGAAGGCACCCATTGGCTGGCTCAGCTGCCATGCTGCTGCCCACGCGCCCGGTCATCCAATCAGCTTCCTGCTCACACGCTGTCCGCGCGTTCCCCAGCCAATCACACCCTCCCTTCCAGCTGTCACTCAGTGACTCTCCTCACCCTGACTGCTCCCACCCCTCCAGCCTGCAGCTCTGCCTTTGCCATGGGGCCTTCTGGGGAGCATAAGCCTTAACCACTTCAGTAATTATTGCCCCATAGCCTGCATATCCCCCCTCTTTTTTATTAAGCAGCGAAAGCCTACTAGGAAAAGCCTAAACAATTCCTAAGACATTAGTAACGGTGACAATAATAACAACTTTTCAAAAACTGTAACATAGACTTCTCCTGTGTGAGCAGTAACACTTAACAGGAACATTATTCAATTATTCATTCATTATTTGAATGAAATTTATAAGGTGAAACTTACAACTGCCTATATGTTTTGCTATCACCCAGGGTCTGCTAAGGAGCCTTCTTTTCACAAATGAGGACTTGGAAGGCCTCTTCCAGATGAGGCTTCTATGTTTACCTCAAAGGAATGTGGTCTAGCTTTTGCAAAGCTAAATCAGTGAATCTTTTTTTTTGTACAGAAACACCTGGGTTTGGTAGCAAACTTTTCCTTGCCAGTCAAGGCCATAGCTTGGCCAGAGCTAAGGCTTAGACTGGGAAGACATTCCTATCATATGATTAAAAGAAATCTTCCATGATAACTCACAGAACAGCCAGCTTTGTCATAAATAACTTGTAAATATAACTGTGTACATATATATACAACTCCTTTGAAAGTACCATTTATTTACCTTTTTGTCACAAACGAATTCAAAACTATCAAAGGAAGCATCTCTTTGTCTCAGCCAAACCTACAGGCGCCAGGCAGGCTTGCTTATCTGAGGAGGCAAGGCAGAGGTACAAGGTCCCAGTGGCTAGCAGCAATAATGCTGGGCTCTGTGTAAGGGCTGCGTGTGTAAGCCCCATGAGTTTATCCAGCCACAGTAGAGATATCTGTGCCATTTCACTCAGGCCACTCAGAGACATCTGCAGCGTGGCAGTGCCCATGCCATGGGAGCCACCTGCTCACTGCTGGCAGCCCTGTGCCCCAGAAGAGTGCAGCCCATGCCCCTTGGCTGCTTCTGCTGTTGGTGGCCCCATGCCCTCACTGCCACTTCTTGGTGAATGTATGAGACAAGTGTTCTGGTGACAGCCACTGGGCCAGCTGTGCCGTTGTCGCTGGGCCATGCTTTGTGCATGATGTTTCCATACTTGATGGGCTGGCAGTCCCTGATGTGCCTGTGGCTGGCCAACAAACCACCTGCAGTGAGCTGAGCACCATCAGTGTGCCCACCAGGCCCACCCCAACCCACACCCAGCCAGGACCCCCCACATATGTGTCCAAAACCTGGACGTGGCTCAAGCCTCTGCCAGAGAGTTAGTATTATGAGCAGTAGTTCCCATGTTTTGGCTATAACCATATCTGCTCTATCACAAATATGTGGGTTATGAACAACAAGCAGCACTTTTCTACAGTCTTAATTAGCATTTGTAAATGCAAGCTGATGCAACAGAATGACTCTGGCCTCATCACTGTCAACTTGCCAGGAGAGCGTGGCATGCAGTCTGTCCAGGAACTGCACAAAGGACTCCACTGGACTCTGTAAAATTTTAGCAAAATACATACTAGAATTGATACCCATCCCTGGGAGTTGCTGCAGGGCTAGGTGAGTGATGATATTACATCCATCAGGCAGGTAGCCTGCCTGAGCTGCAGGGACTGCAAAGGGACCCTCTACTGGTCAGCTGCACAATGGCAACTGGTGCATTTCTGTCCTGCAGCGCTTCTGCCTGGGTTGTACACAGCTCTCTGCAATTGGTGAGCCAGACTGCAAACTGAGTCACCGTTAGAATCATTTTCCTGGAACTTTTCCAGCCGTGGGGTGTGAGGACATACGCGGTACTGATAGACTTGAGGTAGCTTAGAGCGCAATGGGAGGATATGCTGCTTTCTTTTACTAGCGCTCTCAGTTCTTTACTTACTTTGTAGTCCAGCTCTCAGCACACTGGATGTTGGTTTAGTGTCTGTATTACTGGGCAGGCCAAAGCGACTGCCAAGTCGCCCTCCTTCATGGTGGCCTCCCGCGTTTTTGCCAATGCTGGACTACTGCATCGCCATCTTGGGCAGGAGATGAATCTGCCGCCCGCTCGCGATGTGGGAATGCTGCGCCCAAGCGTCCAGACACAAGGTTTTTTATTGGGGTAAGGCAGTTCCGTGGGGCTTGGGATAAGGGAATTCTTTGAGGTTTGGGTCCATCTTGGGGTTGTGTATGGGTTCTGGTGGTGCTGAGGGTTCAGGAGAATTGACTTCCGAAGCCATGTAATGGCTGACATTTGTGTGACTTCTTTTGATAGCTGCCATGATTGTCCCCATGTAGCAACGTGCTCACAAGCTTCAGCATTGCAGTCCCTGGTGATATCAAAAAGTCTCTGCCCTGTTGCCTGCCAGGTTTCTGATCAAAGAGGCCCACTAAAGGGAAAATCTTTAACTTTATTACACACCCAGTCCAGCAGGGTGCTTAATTTCACATCAGCCATATTAATAGATTGCTGAAGTAAGAGCTGCCTGGCCTGGCCTAAGCTCCTGCTTTGTTCCCCTGATATTCCACCTCCCATACTTTCTCCTCCCAGTGGGGTGTGCATACTTTAAATTCCCAAGTTCCTTTCCAAAGTCTTCCCAGATCCTGCCTGGCCGGTTCCTTGACCTAGTGGGAGCTGCTACCGGAATGGGCTGCACACCCTGCATCACCTTTATAGGACCCTGTTTGGGCCAGCCAGCAGTGGGGTACGTGTTCAACGGAGATCGCTTTATTGTAGAAATTGCATCCTTTTAAACCTTTAATCTCTTTAACCTTTAAACCTGACATAACTGAAACCAAACTGAGACCTAGCAGAGCTGAACAGGACGAAGGCACCCATTGGCTGGCTCAGCTGCCGTGCTGCTGCCCACGCGCCCGGTCATCCAATCAGCTTCCTGCTCAC